CTTGTTCTTCTTCTGCTGGGTGGCAGCCAAGTTGTAGTTTTCATCAAACAAGTTACGGACGTTGACATTGTAGGCATCCACGGATCTGGAACGCACCACACGAATACCACCTCTGGAGATGTCTCTGAAACGAATGTGGAATCCTCTGAAGTCCGAGCCCACAATGAAGAACATACCGTATGGGGTCTCGGGGTACTCCGACTGGGGCAAGAAGGATGGGTCCAAACGGAAAGAGATGGCCACCTTGGTGGAGGTGTAGAAGTTGGTCTTGAGGATGGACTTGTTGAACATGTAGAGGGCTCTCAAGACAATGGCGTGGTGCTCGTTCTGGCCACACTCTCTGCTCAAGATCTGCTCAAACTCCTCCTCGGTACCGACAGGGGTGATTTGAGAAAGACGCTGGTACGACAAGGTCTTCTCCATCGACAGTCTGATGTAGTGGACATCAGCAAACTGGCGGTACAACTTGCGGATGATGTCCTTTCTGGTGAAGAACACCTCCTTGATGTAGTCCTGGGTGTATGTTTCCGAACGCAAACGCTTCTTCAACGAGTTCAACACCTCGGCGTGCTGGATCAGCTTGGATGGGTCAAGCAACTGCGACAACTTGGTGTACTCGGGACCCAAACGGTTCAAGAAGTGGGTCACGAAAATCACACCACACTGCGAGTAGATGGCCTCCTGCAACGACAACTCGTTCTTGATGAACAAGTCGTGGAAGTAGTTGTGGGGGATACAGTACAACAAGGAGGCCTCCTTGATCACCTGGTAGATCGAAAGGTCAATTGGGGTCTTGCCGGAGCCGTCCACAGTGGCCTTGATGTACATGGAGATGATGGTCACGCCATTGGAGAATTGCTCCACGTACTTTCTGGTGGTGGAGAGCTTGTAGTAGTCGGCGAGGTCGGAAAGAGCCGAGTTGTACGAGGGCGAGGTCTTCTGGCGGTAACCAATCACGACTCTGTATTCCTCGGACTCCTCAATGGGGAAGTGCTGGATCACAGGCCCAGTGGAGCTCACCACCTTCTTGATAACGTCCTGGTAGAGGGTCTTGGTTCTGTCGGAGGCGATTTTCCAGAAAGTCTCGTCGCTGATCTTCTCAATGTTGGTCTCATTGGGGTCGGCGTTCTCGTGGGCGTACTTGGTCTTGTAGACAAAGTGGCACTTGACCTGCTGCTTGGCGAAAATGGCGGCGGAATCCGGGTTAGCGGCGTACTTCTCCGCCACGCCAGCCAAGATCGGATCCAGCGAGTACTGGAGGGGTGCCGAGAAGTACTCCAATCTGTAGGCTTCGTTGCCATACGACGAGTCAATGTACTTTTCGTCAATGACATCGTCGAAACGACGCTTGTCGAAGCCAGCTCCGTGGAACAGCGTGTCGAAAAACACGGAATGTGAGGCGCCCTCTCTCTTGTATCTGATCAAGGGCTGTTCGCTGACCTTGATGTCGGAGGCAAAGGCCTGGACTTTACAAGAATAAAGCGAATGTATGTGGGAGGCTATGCCCTTGGGGGTTTCCTTGGCAAAGTACACGTCGTCGATTCCAAGACAGTTGTAGAACCACTTGGCCTCGGACTCGATAAGCGACTCAGGGATGAAGCCGGTCAGATCCAAGATATCGAGCACCTGGTCGAACTGATCTTGCTTTCCCAGGAAAGGGGTGTCGATGTAGTCGTTTTTGAACGACGCCACGGACGCAGCGTCGTCGTTTTTGCCGTTGATGGAGAGTCTGGAGATGTCCACGGACATGATGGGGAAAATTGTGAGAAATCAGGAAAACTGGGGTGGGAACCGGAGTATTTATACTACTCGGTCTCGGAGACCCCACAATTCGGGGATGCCGTGCAGCACCGGGACTGGGCAGCGCCCTCGGAATGCCACCCAGGCATTGGCACCCCCGGATTACCCCAAGTTTCAGGCGGCCAAAGCTTGGATTTTATTTACGAGGTGTTGGAGGTTTTGGGATTGGAGGTTTGGGGTTGGAGGTTTTAGATTGGTGGTGTGGGTCAATGATAACATTGGTCCATTCGTATAAGGTTCGAGATTGTATCCCCGGTGGAAGGCACCCCCGGAAAACGGCACCCCCGGGAACAGATACCCCCGGAAAAAGGGGGACATGGCCATGTCGTGGATCTGCCGCAGTGGATGCCCACGGTGGTCGGTGGGTGGTTTTGTGAGATCCGGGGGTGGAGCTGACCCTCGGAAATCAACCGAAGGAAGAAAATGGCGCCCTCGCTTAGGGCATCTCTGAGCGACCACCATAGGTCCCCACTATAAACGGCAGGCTGTGGCGAGCAAAAGCCCCCAAAAATGTCGTGCCTCAAACCTCCACCTTATTCTCCAGAATCCTCCGTTTCTTCTTTTCCCCAGAATGTGCCTTGCTGTGGCGCTAGGCGTTCGGCACTACGAGTCCGCACCAGCCGCGCCAAATGCCTCATAGTCCGTGGGGCACAATCCACCTGTCTGGTCGACAATTACAAAGATATATTAAAGAAAAGATGATCATGAAAATCAGAGAGTTCCAGAGAATTCACTTCTTCAATTTCAAAAAACTCCAAATTCTCGTTGCTGTGAACTAGGGGACCTGGGTTCTCGCGCCACGGCAAATGCCTTAGCAGAATGGCCTGGCATGGCCTGCGCCAGAAGTCTAAATAAAAATAAAACAGGCCGATCGCAGCCAGACGAGCCACCAAAACGGCCGTTTTCAAAATGATCATTTCATCTGGCCCAAATGGCCCAAATGCCAAAATGCCAAAAAATGCCAAAATGGTCATTCTTCTCTTGGCTGAAACACCTGTCATTCAGCCCGCCCGCGAAGGCGCCTGCCCTAAAACCAGGCAAGTGAATGAGACAGACTGTTTGCGTTTCGTCAAATCCACATTTCCCTAAATTATCTTTAATTACCTTCTTCGCTTTCTTTAAATTCCATTGATCGTATTTTCTTTTTTTCCATGGATTTTTTCCCCCGGGTTTTTTTTGGGGGCCCCTTTATTTTTTTTGCGGCGACCGTTGTGCCCCACACTGCGCAGCCAAATCGCCTCGAACCGCTAAACGGCATCGCTCGGAGCTGGTCTCCGCCCCTCAGTTGTGCGCTAGAAACGGTCTGGCCGAGGCGATGGGGCTGCGCTTTTCGAGAAAGTGGACGATTTGACGGCGCTTTGGGAGTTTTCGGTTATATGTAGGAGCCGGTTTTGCAATTTGCTGGTTGTGGTTTTGCAACTTTTGTGGAATTGGTGGTTTTGGTGAAGTCGGTTTTGGGGAGCCTTTGGAGTGAGGTTCTGCTGGGGGCTGAAAAATTGGTGACCCGCGCGGTGCCAGGCTGGGGTTGATTTTGCAATTTTCAGGCTCTGCTTCTCACTCTCTATCCATAATTCCATCTTCTCTTTTTTATTCAAAGCTGGTTTCACTTAAAACTGATCTTTGGACTTTTCTCTCATTTAGTGGATTTGACGCTTTTTTCGACGCAGGGTTCGTTGGCGCTGCAATTGCTAATTTGGGACTCTGGGGTAGTCGCATGTCTCACTTTTGCACCAAATAGGTAGGAGCCGGTTCGTGGTGGTCAGCTGCTCAGGCCGCTAGTTTTCGGAGTGTCGTTCATGGCTTAGAAAAAGGCGGCTTGTCATTCAGTCACATTCGTTGTATTTGGGTGGTTTTGGGTACGGGTTTTGGGTGGTTTTGGGTATAGGCTAGTGGCTGGTTTAGGTGCTCTGTGAGATTGAGACGTCGTCTTGCAGCACTATTTTTAAAATATTATTTGGTTGTGACGACGCCAGAAAGAATGATTTCTTCCCAAAACCTATATAGTTTGAAGACCTACTTAGTAAACCCATTGACATGTTATCAACAGAAGCTGAGTGAACCTGGGGAAAAAAAAAGACTCTCCTGTGCCAGAACTTCATAGGTTTAAGACCATTTTCGGACTCCTTATTTCTCTCTTCTATAGCTTCTAGGTTTGCAGTAATGTATTTGCCAGGAAAAGAGGAGGCATCCAGCTTGAAAAGTGCAAAGGAGCTTCAAGCACCTCTGCTGGTTCACCTACTTCACCGTCTACAGCTTGTCCAGGGCTCCTCTATCAATGAGTGAAATGTTTTCGTTGATGCCAAAACGCAATGTCGTGAACGTAAAAGCAGACCTCCTCATCTTGCTCATTACGTTTGTTACGAAAACCTGGCATTGCTGACTCCTCGTCTGTAGAGGTATCACTCGTACTTCATGGTATTCATGTGGATATCACGGATAAACTAGAGATTTCACGGAACCACTCAACCTCAACGCTTGTTCAAGAATTCAAAAACACTGCTAACTCTCCTGGGGTGGGTCGTGCTTGTTGGGTGTTTCTGGCTACCAGGTCGTTTTGACTCTTTGATCATGCTTTGCCAGGTTGGCGCAACTGAGTGTCTCATAAACCATAAACCGCTTCAACAAACGGTTTCCCCACTTCTAAGCCTGACCCAGAAACAAAGCACCGTGCTGTCACGAAAGCTTCGATGCATTGTTTCATAACTGCAACATGCATTGCGGCTTATCGGGTTCACGATTTGCAACCATGGTCGAACAACAGGCCATTGTTCAAGAAGTGGTCTTTGTAGAGACTCGAAAACGAGCCATTTGGTGACTACTGTTTTAGAACGGGTGTTATTGCGGAGGTAAACGAGGGTGAGTACTTCCAAGAACATCCCTGAAGGAGCCTAAGCTTCAACGGTGCTCCCACAATACTTATAGCGGCATATTTCTTGATCGACATATTCGGCCCACTCACCTTTACGTCAAGTTTATATAAATGGGTATTCTTTTATCTGAAACTACAGGCAATGTAGACTACATCATGTTCATTGATGTTCAGACTCCATCGAATGGAGCCTATATCTAGTATCCATCCACAGTTCCTCCACGACGACCAAAAGCCTCCAATTTAGCCCCCATTCTACCATTTTATTATTCTATTTATTAGTATTGCCGTACACAGACACAATGGGAAACCATCGAGCCTCCTCAACAGCTCATATCGGACAGCTCATAGTGCCCATTGCCTTGAGGTAAAGAGCTTCTTCATACTTCTCGTGTCTCTCCTGAAAGGCAGCTTCAACCTCCTCAAGGCACTGAAGCGTCTCCTTCTCAAGCTCGTCAAACGAAGAGCTCTCCAAAAGTGCTTCCTTGGAGACCTCTGTAGAAGTGCCACTGGGCAAGTTGTTGAGAGTATTCTCGATTGGCTTGAAGGATTCGACGTTCGTCACTGTCTTCAAGGACTCTCTGTCCGTCTTGGACTCACCTGGGGGATTGGCACTGGATGCTTCTGTGTATGTCTGGATGATGTAGTCTTGAGTGATTCCCTCAGTTTCGGTGATTGTGGTCAGGGGGGCACATTGGAGGGATGGAGGCGGAGCATACAACATTGGGATGGATATTGAACTGTGGGAGAAGAGGGTATTCTGGATTACGGGTGGTTCGGTGATTTGTTCTCGTTTTCACAAAGGCGAAGAAACAGGAGATACCCAGAGTCCATGGGCTCAACTATCCCTGGGTGCTATTCCTTTTGGTGAATGGGGTTTCTATGAGTTCTGTAGTGGTTTTGACCAAAGAACAAGAGAGTTTTACGAGGATGGCCCTAGCAGTAGAGCTCACTCTAAGGACTTGCTATATGGTAACCCTATTCCTACGAAACTATGAACGCCCCAGCAATTGAGTCCCTGAATTAAGGTAAAGAGACCTTAGAGACAAAAAGGAAGCAGCTATCCCTTTGTATAGCCTATACGGCTCAGGCAAAACCCCCTTGGCTTTGGTGACACTTCTCTACACTGACTATGTAACCTCTACCCATGACAAGCGAATTCTTCCAAACCTGCCAGCCCCTAACCTATCAATTCTTACACTACGTACCACCAACTCTTCCTCATTCTTACCCACTACACCTCCCTGGATCCCACTGTGCTGGGATCATGACCATCCACTCATTATCCAACTCATAGACTACTACTCTTCCCTTCTTCATCCTCCCACTGAAGCCAATTGGGTCATCCTTTTCCCAGAAATGCCCCTAAACAAACCCACCACCGAGAACAAGTCACACCTGGTAATTCCCAATAGGAAAGTTTTGTAGATGTGTGACGGTGGTGCTCGAGTGCGCGGACTTTTATTATCACCAAGCCTCGGACCATGCGCCGGCCGTGCATGAAACTCGCACTAACGACGCTGCACGACGCAGGGTCTCGATTGATTTGCAGCCAACCCATTAATGCAAACCCACCCGTTATGGGTGTCTAAATGGTCCTGGAAAAGCCAAATTTTCACATATTTCGTCGACTAAGGGCCTCCAAACTTAGCTGGCCGAGCAATTGACCCAACACGGCCTCCCAATATCCGCCTTTGTTCAGAAATAATATTATTACTCGCATAAAAAATAAAGCCGTCAAGCTGTCATCGCTTTCACAAACAGAGTGGTCATCCATTGGGTCCCCCAGGCACGCCTGCTCCCTCCGTAACATAAATATCCGCCCTTTCTCGCTCCCTCCAGTTTTTTTCTCCACCACTTTATCTCATCTTTTTCCTTCAGCACCCTACTGAACGACAAAGAACTCTAAGTGCCTAATACCACCACACCTAACTAACTCGACTGCCATCTAGCCAGTCCTAACGCAATGTCTATCAACGTTCCATTTGTCTCCGAGACAATCCTCGGCACCCGCCTCACCGAAGACGACGGTTTTGCCGTTCCTTCCTCGGCCCACTTCGACAAGGTCGAATTCGAAATCGGCATGGACGAAGCCAGAGTGCAGCCTCCTGCTCCCAAGAAGCCCTGTCTCTTCTTCCAGAGCATCCAGGAGTTCCACCACTTCTCCAGGCTCAACCCGCCCGTGTCGGTTGGCGAGAACATCAGCATCACTGCTGTGATTTTGCAGCCTACTTCCCCAGGCTTTTTCAAGCTCTATGCCCAGCCTACCGAGGTGCTTGTGCCTGCTGGCTTGGGCATGTTCCTCCACGGCTACCCTTACGCCAACATTTTTGATCCTTATGTGTTTTGTGGCGGTGATTCCGGCCTCCCCAAGGAATTCCCCCAAGCTGCTCCCCATCCATCTCAACCAACCCAACCAGCTCAACCAGCTCAACCATCTCCACAGCCTCAGGCTGCTCCACAACCCCAGCCTGCTAAGGCTGCCTCCCCAGCTCCCCAGCCTGCTAAGGCTGCCTCCCCAGCGCCACAAACACAAAAGGCTCACACCCCTCTGAACGTTCCTTCCCAGGATTCCAGAGACACTTCGCTGACTTCTGAACATCCCCAGAAGTCGGCCCAGAAGTCTGCCCAGGAATTGGTCAGATTCCACGGCCCCTCGACCTCGCCGGTCACCTCCCGCTCTGGCTCTCCCAAGGAAACCCTTCCTCCCCAGCCCTCCAAGAGAGCCTTGAAGCAGAGAGCCAAGAGAAGAGCCAGACAGGAGAGCAAGAAGCAGCGCAGAGCCAACCACAAGGAAAAAGCCCAGAAGGAGGCGATGATGGCCGAAGCTGCCGAGCTCAAGGCCGCCCAAAGGGCCGAGGCTGCAAGAAACACAGCACAGCAGAAATCTGCAAACGCTTCACGTGTGGCCCTTTCCCACTACCACCACTCCCAGAGACTCGCCCGTTTCTTCGAGCACCTTCCCCTTTTCCTCGAGGAGCGCCGCTACCGTCTGTTTGCCCTTCCCCAGGAGCCCAGAAGGCTTCCTGAGCTCCCCATTGTGGAGCTTCCTTTGGAGGTTTTCCCCTGCCTTTCCGTTTGTGCTGGCGACGAAAAAGCTGTTTCCTCTCGCCCGCCCAAGCGCTCGGCGTGGTGCGGTTTGCTCAAGACCCGCAGAAAGACCAAGGCCAAGAAGACTCGACCAACCAGACGCTCGGGAACGAGCTGGGTCTGAGTCTGTGGCAGAGACACCAGAGACCAGGCCACGGAGCCGGCCCAAAGGCTCCATCCTATTTATTTTGTTTGATTTGTTTGTTTGATTTGTATTTTAATAAAAAAAAAAAAAAAAGTGGGAGTAGTAGGTGGTGGTGGTGGTAGGTGGTAGTAGGTGGTGTTGATAATTGGCGTGGTGAGGTGAGGTTGAGGCAAGTGCGCTGGTGGTTGTTCGGGGTGGTGATTGACTGGAGGGGTGTTTCAGTGGTTTTATTGAAGGGAAGACTTTCCGACTTTTAAAAGTACTGTTCTGCTGAAAGGTGGCTGGTTAGCTGAATTGCCGACTTGTGGTCAGACTATGTGAGGCCTTGTACAATGTGGGACTAGAGGTATGACGAGATGAGCACTGTGATAATACTAAAGCTATTATGACCCGAGAACAATGATGAAAGTCAAAGGGCGCCTTCTTTAATTGTATCAACGAGCTCTAAGTACCCAGCGTACTACCCATTTACAACACCATGGGCGCATGTCGAGATGGAATTTTTAGGATCATATTCCAACAGTGGCAAGGTGCCCTCTGCTCTCCGGGAAGTCACGAGCAATCAAGTGCTTGTTACAGATAACGACATCAATTGTCTGATTATCCAAGGCAACTCTGGCCTTCACTCCTGAAGCTGTCAACCCTTCGAGGCCTTGATAGTGGCACTAAAGGTATCACCTTCAATGATAAGGCCGAAATTCTGCTTGGCCCAGCTACAAAAGCCTTACCGGTAGAATGTTTGTGGTTTTCAAGCAATGAACGAAATGAACGAAACCAAGAAGTCTGTTCAGTCTAGATAGCTGATATTGAGTGCTTTATGGGTTGTGGGAAGAATACAGCTCTATGACCAATTGACCACGTCACAATCTCCAAAGCCACAGACCTAAACCACCACTCTTACCTCTTCCTAGCCTAGAAATAAAAAGCTGCTGAAAATATTCATCCAAAGTGACCACTGATACCTCATTATAACGGTCTGTGAGGTGTGCAACCAGCTCTCTGCAAAACGACCATCCCCCTCAATTGCCAAAAAAAACCAGAAACACCCCATACTACCATAGTCACTCCGTTAAATGACTGCCTCAAAAAAGGTAATCCCACTCACCACCGCTAAATCACCACCCCACCTACCGCGAAGGCTCGGTTGCAACTTTTCAGAGTACCACTCCACCCCACCATAATACACCCACCCACTCAAGCCTAGACCCAACCAAAAATTCCAAAACTGCCCACCCCTCCAAAACCCCAAAACCTCCCCAAACAAAAATCAAAAAAACCCTTCCACCAAACTCCCATCCCACCAAACTCCATCCCACCCGATCCCTCCGTGTAGGAATATCACCACTCACCTCGCGACACCAACTACTCCATCTTCATGATCAGCGCAGTGTTCATCTTCAACGCCAAGGGCGACGTGGTCATGGCGCGTCTCCTAAAAGACGGCGTCCGCCAGCTGGTGCTGGACGTGTTTCGGATCCAGGTGATCAACCAGACTTCCCGAGCAGGAACATCCAAAGACGTCAGATCGCCGGTGTTGACTTTGGGCAGCACCTCCTTCTTGCACACGCGTGTGGGCACCATGTGGCTTGTGGCGGTGACGCGTCTGAACCAGGACCTGCTGGCGGTGTTTGAGTTTTTGTTCACTTTTGCGGCGTTGCTTAAACACTTTTTCCTAAAGGACCCGCTGGCGCCATTGAAGGAGGACGCTGTCACGGGCAATTTCTGTTCGATCTACGAAATGCTCGGCGAAATGCTCCCTTTCGGCTACCCGACCAACATGGAGCCCACGTACTTGGCGCTGGTGATTCCGGGGCTTCCACAGCAAAAGACAGGGTTCGACTTCCACGCGTCTCTCTTGAAGCCGGGCAACGATAAGGCCGAGAAAGCCGCCGCCACCGCCATGGACCACAGCTACGACTCCCGCATGGTGCTGTGGCGAGAGCCGGGCATCAAGTACCGCCGAAACGAGATTTTTCTCAATGTGGATGAAAAAGTGCATGTTACGTTGGACAGCCACGGCCGCTGTCTTCGTTCTTACATTGACGGCGAAATCACGCTCAAAACTCATCTTCTGGGCATGCCCGTGTGCCGCTTTGGCTTCGCTGACGAACGCTCCGATTCCGGTCTCCTTGACAAAATCAGCCTAGACGACTTCAAGTTCCACAAGTGCGTCGACTTGGCCAAATACGACACCGACCAGGTCATCCGCTTTGTGCCGCCGGACGGTGCTTTCCAGCTCATGCTGTACCATGTCAGCAACAAGTTCATGCTCCCATTCAAGGTGATCCCGAAAACCAGCATACAGGGGGACAAGATGACCATCAGGATCAGCTTGCGGTCCACCTACGAGTCCACCATCGCTGCTTCAGGCGTGACGCTCACCATCCCGACCCCCAAAGACGTTGTCAAGAACAATATCACCTGCTCCAACGGAAAGGCCAAATACAACCCTGCCGAGAGCTCCATCTCGTGGAAATTCAACAAGATCTACGGCGAGCTGGAACACTCGTTCACGGCTGAACTCAGGCTTTCGGAGGATGACGAGTTTTCCCAGAAACACGCCGTCGCCAAAAGCCCTTTGAACCTAGAGTTCTCCATGGACATGTACAGCGCCTCCGGCCTTCTGGTGAAGTTCTTGAAGGTTGTGGAGAAGAACAATTACAGAACCGTCAAGTGGATCAAGTACACCACCACGGCGGGCTCCTACGAAATCAGACCGTGAGGGCCTCCCTACACATCAAGACAATTCATCCAGGTTGATGCTGTACCAGTCCAACCTAGAGTCATCTACAACACGGCAAAACAGCCAAAATTGACATTTCAACGGTTTTCATGTTTCTTTGTTTCGGACTTTTCGAACCGCACGCCTCTAGCCGGCAAAAGTCGTCCAATCCGGTGTTTCAGCTTATCAGTGCTCCAGGTCCTACACTGCGAAACAGGATGCGAAAACATCACCATCTCAAAATTTTACTCCCCACGTTTCTTCAGTCTCAACACATCAACACCCACACACCATGAGAGACCTTCTAGTGTTCGGCGGAAGCTCCGTTCCGGCTCTTGCCAAGGCTATTTGCAGAAATTTGACCATCGTTCCTGGTGAGGTCGATTCCAAGAAGTTCTCAAATGGAGAAACCTCCATCACCGTGAAGGACTCAGTCCGTGAAAAGGACGTCTTCATTGTCCAGAGCGGCTGTGGAGAAGTCAATGACAACTTCATTGAGCTCTTGATTTTGATCTCAGCCTGCAAAACAGCAAGTGCTAAGAGAGTTACCGCAGTGTTGCCGTTCTTCCCATACTCAAGGCAACCTGAGAATCCTAAAGTGCTGATGGGTGGTGACAACGCCATTGCTGGCGAAGAAGAGATTTCATTACCCAAGCCTGCTTTGAGACCCCGTGCTATTCTGACAAACGCAGCTGCTACGAACCTTTTAGGTGCTGTGGATGGCTATGGAAAGGACGATAGTGGCTATAAACAATGGGTCAGCCCCAACGGAACCCTCATAGCCAACTTGCTTATGAACGCTGGCGCCGACCGCTGCATGACAATGGACTTGCACGATCCCCAATTCCAGGGTTTTTTCGATATCCTGGTTGATAACCTTTACCTGATGCCTTTGTTCAAGCGCTACATCATAGACTACGTCCCCAATTACAAAGATTGCGTGATTGTTTCCCCTGACAGTGGAGGAGCCAAGAGAGCTACTGCCATTGCAGACGCCTTGGGTTGTCGGTTTGCATTGATCCACAAAGAGAGAAGAACAAAGGTGACTCCTGTCACCATTGGCTCCCCTATTCTTTCTGCATCGGTTTCTATGAACTCCTCCATCTCTACAACCACTCAGGTGAACAGCTCCATGCTCGTGGGTGATGTCAAGGACAAGGTTTGTGTGCTTATTGACGATCTTGCCGACACTTGTAACACCATCACCAGAGCAGCCAAGCTCTTGAAAGAGACTGGCGCTTCATACATCTACTGCTTAGTCACACACGCCATCTTCAGCGGGGACGGTCTTGAAAAGATTGAAGCCTCTGACATTGACAAGCTCATCACTACAAACAGTCTGCCCCAATTGGATCACATGAACGAGCTTGGCTCCGACAGATTTGAGGTGCTTGATGTGTCGCGTATCTTTGCCGAGGCCATCAGAAGAATCCACAATGGTGAGTCCGTGTCCATGCTTTTCGATCATGGTTGGTAAATTTATTAGTCTATTGCATGCCCTGAAGCTCCGCCCTTGCCTTTTTGTTGTGACCCTTTTTCCGGTTATGATTAGCCCTGCTACTCTTCTGGCGCTCGTTGCGAGCTTGGGTCTTTTTCTGATCGCCAGCCGTTTTGGACGTTTCCTGTTTAGGTTGCTGGTGCTGGCGATTGGCAACTTTTTTGTTTGAGAAGTGCGCTGCAAAGCGCTCCTCAAGCAATCTGAAACGTTTCGGCGACTTGGAGAGCATTTTGAACCAGCCCTCGATTTGCTCGTCGCTCCATTTAGAGACACTTTTGATCTCATCCCGCAACTTGGTCTTCCGCCCGCTCTTGTCGAATGCGGATTCGCCATTGCTTCGGAAATATCCAAATAGATTGAGCTCGGTTTTCTCGAGCTCATTAGCAACGACGTCTGTTGGCGTAGACTCTCTTTTGGATGCACTGTCATCCTCAAACACAGCCAAACGAGCCTTGTCCTTGTTTTTCGGCTTGTGTTCCAATTCTTCAAATGCAGCACCAGAGGTGTGTTCCTGGTCGTCGTAGGTGTCGTCACGTTCGTCCTCGTCGTCCTCGTAGAGCAATTTGAGCGCTGCCGAAAGAGTCCGCTTTTTGATCTCTTCTTCACTGACAGGTTGCTTTTTCTTCTCGACCCGGGTGGTCGTTTCGTTGTCGTTGAGCTTGAAACGCTCCATGCCTCGCTGAAGCTCTTCAGCCGAAACCTTGAGCTCCTCCTTTTTCGGCTGTTCGAGCTCTTCTGGAATCGTCTCGATCATCAGCGGATCGTCAAGCAACAACGAGGTGACCTTCTCGGCGTTTCTGTCGTTTTGGAGCAACACCACCCTGGCCTTTGCGGGCGACAAGGACGGGAACATGTCGGTCAAAAACTCGACATCCTTTTCGTCCACTGGCGCCTCGGGTTCTCCAAACAGAAGCGTACGCAAAAACGGTAGTTTCTCCTCGAGACCAGGGTTCAACTTTTTATACGAATCCAGGATGATAATCGAGCTCAAAAGCGGACAATTGCCCATCGTCGCTGCACCATTAACGCCCAAAGTAGAAATAAGCGTCGCCAACTTGGACACAGACAACGCTAGCACACTGATGACCATGCAATTTTTAACTGTTTCAGCGTGGACGCTCCGGCCGCCCGAATAAAGCCGTTCGAGCGTTTCGATCCATTCAGGCGCCACAAACGCCTCGGCAAACGCTAGGGCGCTGGACAGCGAGGTGAAGTTGCGGTCTCTGTCTTTGGCCAAAACCTTGCCCTTTTTCAGGCCTCCAGAAAGCAGAAACGTCTGTGCTTTCGGCGACGCGTGCTGGCCCACAAGCAAAAAAAGAATCTGCTGTGCCGTGCCGTCAAACGCTCCCTCTATGACTTGAGCCTCAATGGCAGCTCGAAGAGCAGGAACCAGGGAAATGTTGCTTGACTTGCGATTGTCGTTGAGCGGCAGCTTGAACGTTCCGTCAAGGAGCGTCCTGACGATCGAGGCGTTCTTCTCCACGTAAACAACCACAAAATGCCATAGACTCTGTCCTGTGATGCCTAGCTTGACGATGCTGTGAGCACGAACCACCGAAAGCACATATGCCCGAAGCGTGGCGGTGTTGGTCTTGATGTCTGGGTTGATGGCGCCCAAGGAGAAGATTCTGGTCAGCTCCTCGGCGGTTTCTTCTAGGAAGCTCTTGAGAAACTGCTGCAACTGCTGCTGAGACTTGACGCTCAAAGCGACATCGTCGTTCAACAAAAGCTGGAAAAGCTGGATGTAGCCTTCGAGCAAGTGGACCCAGATCACGGGGTCCTTATCGATGAGAGACAGTCGAAGCTTGAACGGAGGGTACGCCGGGATCGGCACCGCTACCTGGTTCTCCATGAGTAGTTGAGAATCAGGCACACTGCGATGGAGATGTGATGGGGTGGTGGTGGTGGTTTTTGATTTTGGTTTGAAAGTTTTAGTTTTACCGTTTATCGTTTATCGCTGTTGAGGGTATTTTGGAGGTGCTTTGGATTTGGTATGGGTTACTGGTGGGTGGTTGGTTGCTCATGAGCAATGGGTGGGGTGAGACATCGATGGTACAAAGTTGGGGATGGTGGAGTGATAAAAGATCCATTTATTTTTGGAAGGAGGGGAATAGTTTTTGAGAGATTGGTGGGTTTAGTGGGAAAAGTTGGTTTTTCGTGGTGATGTGATGTGGTTTGTGGAGACAGAGAAGCGACAACCTAGACAGTAGGCATATGGCTTTGACGATTATGGTTGTTCTTCGCCAAAAGTACATAAAAGCCTGAATTCCGCTTGAAACGGTCTGCTTGCCAATTGGGCATTTTAAGCTGGTGTCCGTGAGTTTCACGTCGATTGTGTGCTTCCAGGGCTGTTCTTCAGCGCTGTCTTTTGAAAGATTCAATACGGTACCAGTGTGGAATTGTGCCCTATAACCATGGATTCAACTTTGTTTGTTTTTTGTGACTTAATGGCTGAGAATGTCTCTTTTGTGCCTTCTAAAGAGGAACGAATGGCCTTGTCAATGCAATGAGAGAAACCTACATCAATATGGTTTTTCGTAATCGGTCAATTGATAAGTAGGCCAATTGAGTGGGACATTGCCCGGCAATTTTGTTTTCGTGCTATACTCCATACGGCAGTTATCCTTTTCAATTCTTCCGTGGGCACTTCTTACCAATGGATATTCCACCTCCCGCATAGAGAGCTTACCGGATCAGACATCCTACAACATCAATTGACGGGGTCTTTTCTTCTAGTCGTGCCCTTTTGTTCAATCGTAGCGTCTGCTGATAATCTATAAAAAAAAAGATGTACCATTAAAAATGATTTAGCTCGGAGATTGTTTCCTTGGAAGCACCCCAATCAACAGCAAAGCGAGAAGATTCTGAGCAAGGGTGGGAAAGCCAAGTCTGTTTTGTTCGTGGAGTCGGAAATACACCACGGAAATGAGGATGGCAAACTGTCTCTCATTTCTCCATCGGATGCCAATGTTATGTTGAACGTTTTGTCAGTAGCTCTAGCTTGGCGACAGAAAGCCATAGGCCCCAAAATCACTCTCAACTTCTTTTTTTTCTTCTTCAAACTACTCTTTCCATATCCCCTTATTCTCTACCATGCCTCATGACCAAAGGATATCCAGCAGATGCTAGTCTCCTCCACTTTCCTGCCTCCTCAACTCTCAACACCCACACCACTACACTTACCTTTTCATTATATTTATTTTTTTCTATTTTTTGTAATAAATTTTTTTCTTCTTTTTCTTTAAGCTGACTGGGCCGGCGTCAGCATTCCTGGAGAACAAGGTAGATGTTCCCCTGCGTGAGCCGCTTGTCCATGTCGTGGACAGGCTCTCTGTACCGCCCGTGGGTCCGCTGCTTTACATGTCTGAACTTCAGAATGCTAGCTGGCTCGGGAGCCGGAGTAGCGGGTGGAGAGGGGGAATCTCTCCTGGGGCTCTTTCGAGCCTCAATGGTTTGCCATTCGCTGGAAGTGGCTGGAGCTTCTGGAGAAGCTGGGGAAGAGGGCAGCCTTCTTGGGAAAGCTGGGTAGGGGCATTCTTCAAGGTCAAGGTCGTAGGAGCCTGGAAGAATGCAAGACACGACTTCGTCCACGGTCACTTGGGTAAACTCCTCGTAGACGTCGGCGACAGAGGCGGCCGAATCAAAGACGGTCTTGATAGTAGCGGTTACTGCCTTGTAGGCGAGGGAAGTAGTAGCACGGAAAATGTTCTTGTAGGCGATCATTGTAGCTGAGTAAATATGTTTGAATGTGGTGATGAGGAAAAGAGAAGGGAGGGAGAAACGGGCTCTATTTATGTTGTTCCGGCGCCGTGGGTTTGGGGTTATGGCGTTTGAGGGTAAGTCCAGTGGGATGGTCATCTGTGGTTGTTTTGTGGGGGAAGGTCCAGTAGTGTGGGAGGTGAGGAAAGAAGAGGTGGAGGGGGATTTGGCGGTTTGTGGAAGGTGCAAATCTGTGGTGGATGTTTCTGCAATGAAGCTCGGAGGATGTGCTTGAGAGTGATCCAGTCATGGGTCTGGAAGGTCCAGACAAACAAGATGATGACTTTTGATCGATCCATGAATGCAATAGATAATATTGCTACTTGGTCATCAACGGAAACGGCCTTTTCAGTGTCGTCCGTTTGTGTTGTAGCAGTGAGGCGAGCGTCAATGGACTGTTAGCGCATATTGGGTTCTGGAGAATATGGGATTATTTCCACCTCAGTGTGCTTTAATAAGTAGGTTTCTTTTTGATCCGAAAGTAGGATTTATTCAATTTCTGTGATATCTGTTCGTCCTACCATATTTCCACTGGCTGCGAAAACTGACACCGTGCTTCCAAAATACCATGCTGATATCGTTTTCCACACAATTTGAAAATCTTAGAATAGCTTTCAAAAATCAGGGAGTGGCCCATCACGCAAAACTTGGTGATCCCTCTCTGCTCCACGGCGTCTCCACCCCCTGGTAGTAGTTAAAACTGCGTGATCTTGTCGTTTGGCATAGTCATAGTAACCTTATTCTAACGACTTAACATCGAAATAGCCTTTCAGAGCTTGGGCTCGTAAAGTTGTTTCAACAGATTTACGCTATTTTAGCTTGGATCCAGGGGAAGGAGACGCTGTTGCTAACCTGCGTTGCTAGGGTAATACAGAGGAGGTTAAAGTCAAAGCAAGAAAAGATCGATGTGCCAGGCCCAGGCCACGCTTCTTCTTCTTATAAACCCCTTCAAATCTTTAAGCTTCATCACATTGCTACAACGTCTTAAAATCAATCTGTTACAAATTTGGTCTCGTGATTACCGTGGTACTAGTATCCCTTATCTACCACAAAGTTTTCGGTGGCGCGAAATGGCCGATAAGCACTTTTACCAACTACGGTAAAGTGATTGACCTAGGGAGAAACAAACATAGAGTTAGTAGCAGTCAGCATAACCATAATAATGCGCTTCTCAAAAGTACTCGAGTTTCTTCGGACAAAGAAAGATGGATTCTATAGCTATGATGGCAGGAGCGGAGCACCGATAGGAGGAGTTGACCGGACGCTTACTCAAAGCTATAACTTTGATTTTGATGATTTTAAGTCGAGGATTGGAGATAGCAACACTGTGTTAATCATCGAAAATGAGTACAAATTACTATTTGACAAAACTACGAATGAGTTTAGTATATGTAGAATTGGGGGAAACAATAAGACAATAAAGGTAAAGGAGATTTTCGACCGTTGTGGCAGCATAACTCCAGAGCTCAAGGCCTCCATGTGGATGAGGACAATTTGTGATGAGTATTCCTTCGGTGTTTCAAAGAAGATTGCATACGTGTATAGATGGAACCCTGACTGGACTGATGAGGAAGAAACTGATGACGATGATGATCCTCATTGAATAGTCATGGAAGTACCTTTATTTAACAAAGAAAATAGCCTTTTTTATATAGAATGTATTAGCAGGACGCTTCTGACAAAGGTGAAGAATTCACTGGAAGTGCTGGAAATGGCTTATCAGAGCTGGACGCGTCGGACGGTGGAAGTCTACAAAACCACAACATTGTGGACATAGACGGGGAAAACGACGTGGAAAAGTCGCCTCCGCTATTCTGTGAACACACATATGAACATTTTCGCAAACTAAATTGGTTTGTGAAGACGGTGAGAACTACCTATTTAAAGCACCGTGAATCGAGGGAAGAAGGCCCAACCCTTCCGCCCCTTCTGAGACGTCAGTTGAAGAAGGCCGTCAGACAGATTTGTCCGATGGGTCGATAAACACGGCGAGACGTTCGGGAAACTGACCTGAGGGTCTCGTGAAATTGAGAATAATAAGATCTTATTGGAGGTGGGTTTCTATAGATATATAGTTTTTTTTACTCTAATAAAGAGACATCAGTTAAAAAAAAAAAACAAAGGAGTCTCTTTTATGAAAAAGCAAAATTATATCGCTATTAAAACCATAACCAGGCATCCAAAAGCCCTCCATTTCCGAAAAGACTCGACAGAGAACCCTTTAATGTCCTTAAGACTCCTTCAAATCATCCGACATTCACCTATTGCAACGAAAAACGGCCCAAAACCACCAAATTGAACAAAATATGGTCACGTGACCACATGTCTACTAGTACGCCTTATATACCACAAATTTTCAAAATCGAGCGTTCGGCGGCGCGAATAGTTTAGTGGTAAAATACAACGTTCCCATTGTTGTGTCCCTGGTTCGATTCCTGGTTCGCGCATGGTCACTGTTTTTTTGCACCCAACCACGGCAGGACCTCGTGGGCTCAATTTCAGGATAAAAGCCATGTTGGCTTAAGGAGCCGCCAACGACTTACGAGGAGCTGCAACCTTGTTTTTGATGGTCATCCGTCGAATATCTCCGCTTCCTTTTCTTGACTGAGCTAGCATGAACAATTGCTCTCTAGGAATTGCTGGAAACGAGAAGCTACGTTTGAAAGCTGGGAAGAGGTTTCCATGAAACCCATCAATTCTATATTTATTTTGTTTTTCTTCAAACCCACACGGAGGTGATGTCTTATTTTAGCAGCAGTGCTTAGTAGCGTAAATTCAAGCGGCTGACGCTGAAGCCTCCATCAGGGGTCCAATGATGAAGCCGCGCAGGACCAAGAATAGAAACGGCGGCAACGGAGCTGTCATGACGTCATGACATTTCATCTTATCTGATGGATTTCAGACATAGAATGACCCAAAACCTGACCAGTGTGGAGAAAAGAAGCCCCGAGGAGCTAATTATAGTATTGTGTGTACCTCGTCGTCTGCAGGGGTGCAGCGCTCTAAAGAAATGGTTGCAAAAAAAAGAGTATATAAGGACAGCTCGACTCACCAGCTTTCCCATATCTCCATCATTCTCTAACCATGAAGCTTCTCGGAATTCTCACCATCACCACCGCAGTCAACGCTGCAATCTCGTTCAACTTGAAGTCCAAGAAGGACGGCTCTGACTTCGACAACAAGAATGTCATGAACCGTGGAAGACTCACCCTTGGCGACGATGCGGGCATTGACTTTGTCCTCAACGACGACGGTTCTCTTGTGGACGGCCCTTCAAGGAAGTATATCAACTTCAAGTCCGATCTCGCCGAGCTTGGCGACGACCACCTCAAGGGTTTCTCGGTCAAAGACAACAAGTTGCATTATAACGACAAGAACGAGTGGTACGGCTGCCCCAAGGACGACTCAGCTTTGGGATTCGAGACTGGCTGCGACGACAAGCAGGAAATCAATCTTGAGTTGGAAAACGTCAAGGACAGCGACAATAACTACCCTGACGAGAGAGACTTTTTCTTCTTGAGAGCCTGGAGCACAGAAAGCGACAAGTTCCAAAACACCCCCATCATGAAGGTTGACGAGCATCCCCATGTGTTTTCCGTGGGAGGCGACAAAGGCAAGGACTTGAACTTGTACTTCTTCGATGACAAAGGATCCTTGGCTGACCAAGACAACAGAGGTGTCAACCATGATCCAAACACTGGTGAAGTAGGCAATGTTGCACCATTCGGCCGCTCTGGCGCAACTCCAGGTTTCTCTATCAACGGAGACCATTTGGTCTTTGAGGGAAACGACAACTGGAAGGCTTGTCCAAGTGGAGACAACGAATACTCATTGGCCGACAATGATTGCACTGGAGGCACTCCGATCGTTTTGCAAGTTGTCTTTTTTTAAGACTGCGCTACTAACGGGGATATATCACACCCCGTCCAACTGATTGTTTGTATTTTTTGATATGCAATGTATGACCTGTTTCAAAAAGAAAAAGTAATGCTCTGAAGCTCGGGCACAACTAACACCGTTTCCAACCCATTCTCTTGCACAGTGTCAGTGGATGTTCTGTCACTCTGCTCGACCGGCTTGATAGTGACCCTGGGGAGAGGAAGCTTCCCGACATTGAGGGGAATGAGGGTCAAATCGAATTCGGTTTTGCTATTTGGTCCCAGAACAGGGAAGGCATGCTGCTTGAGACCAGAGAGAAGCCAGTTATCTTCATGATGAACAATGAACTGGAACATTTGTTGCTTGGCTGCACCTTTCCCTGTGGGGGAAGATGACGCAAGCACCTCCTGAGGGACATCATTCTCCTCGCTCCATTTCATCGATGACGTAATCTGAAGTTTCATGTCAATAGGCTCCCCAACGAGGTGCTGCATTTTCTTGCCATATGTGAATTCGACGTTGTGTAGAATATCCAAAATAGGCACCGCAACAGGGATGTATAGCTGTTGTCTGACAAATATAATGTCCTCCACAGGGATGGTATTTTTCAAGATCATGTCGATGCAGCAAATAAGTTCAGCTTTGTCTTTCTCGGATCTGACGTGGGTTTCGATTGATTCCTGAAACAACGTTCTCACATTTCCAGCATTTTTGATCTGAATAACGCTATTGATGGCGTACTCATTTAGGTCAAATTGAAGGAGCTTCACGAGTTCCGTGAAAAGTGTTGAATAGCGCAGAAGTTCGAAGCTTTGGAAATACTCCTCTTGCAAACCTAGCACCTTGGCCTCGCACTCATTTTGTAGATTGGAGTACGTGATCGTCAAATCAAGGGTATCAGATGATGAAACGATTTCGGATTTTGGGGTGATCCGGTAGAACATGAAAGCTGGTTGCTCTCCAAATACGAGCTGAGTATTTTGCTCGCTGATATCGCATGTCAGACTAGCCACAAGATACTTGTCACTGTTGCATTTGAACTCCGACCCAACGATACGAATAGGGGTTCTCGATTGAGCACAGCC